TCAGAAACAGCCTTATGAAAAGGCAGGAAAGGAAACGGCTAATCTGAAGGAAGCTCCTACTAGAAACACTGAGCACACAGTCCACCCACATGCAAGTCTTGGAATGGGGCTGAATAGTCCACTCCTGGAAGGTGGAGACCTGCTCAGGAACCCCTCTTGGTTGGTGGGGGAGTCAACAGCAAGAAAAACCGGTTCCTTGAACAACAGTCTGTCCTTCTTCACAGACAAAGGGCAGCAAGGAGTCTTGCCTGATAGGGTCCAGCCAGAGAAGGCCAAGCAGTTGTCAGAGGAACCTGGGCTCAGACTCCCCTCTGGCTTCTCCCAAGCTGCACCCCCAAAGTCTCAGCAGATGACCAGCAGCTGGGATATCTTCTCCCTTTTCCCTGCCCCCCAGAAAGCTCCAGCCCCTGCCCAGACTCCCAAAGGTTTGGAGACAGAAGGTTTGTACAAGATCCCTTTCTCTGCCAAGAAAGGGCTTCCAGGCAACTCCAGCTTCAGCTTCTTCAGTTGGATCTCCTTCCGCCATGAACAACCACCATCTGCTCCTGAAAGAGGTTATTTTGCCGAGCCACCTCCATGGCAAGGAGAGAAGGAACCATTCCTGAGGCAACATGTTTCTGCTGATGCTGGCACTGGAATGGCCAGAAAACAGCCTGTGGAGGAGAAGGGGACCACTTCCAGTGATCGAGATGCTGTACTTGGGAAGCAGGAAGTATGTGGCTTGCAGAACAGGGTGAGTGAAGCAAGTGATCTGGTGGCTGGGAAGGCCGGGGAATGTACATTGGGAGAATGGCTTACAGCCAGCCCAACTCTTAGTGATTCAAAGGAAGAAGACCAGCCAGCACATCTTGACCCTGCCCTTGAAGGTCCTGAAATCCAAGAAGATGGATCCCCTCCAGAGATTCCAAAACTAATGGAACAGCTGGACAAGAGTCCAACTGAGTGGGATGAGAGTGTGTGTTTCTCTGAGAAGGAAGTTGCTCCTCCTCCAAACAGGAATGAGGCTTTCAAAAACACCAAACACAGTAGTACAGTTTTTGATAAAAACTCTGTGGCCCAAAGAACAGCTGCTCTCAAACACTTGGGCCAGGAGGTGGTGCCGGAGTCCACGCAAGGATTTTGTCTTCCTTCCCATGCTGGAGCACAGCAGGCTCTGTGTCAAAAGCCTCTTCCTAAAATCCCATCAGGGTCTGATAGGTTGGAGATGTCTCAAGAACCTGCAAGTGACAAATCCGTTCTAGATACCTCCATGGATATGTTTTCAAGCTTCTTGACCAAAATAAAACCTACTAGAACTTTATCTGACTTTTTGGCCAACCCACTCCAAACTCCAGCTGCTCCTAGTTTGCAGAAGAAAAGCACTTCCTTTTTTGGCTGCTCATTTCAGCCAAGTGGGCCTTCAACATTTACAAGTGGCCTCTTTGGCATTTCTAAAGGAGTAGTGGAACAGCCTCCTTCAGAAGCTTCAGGGGCCTCAGAACCTCAGGATGTGAATTCTGATGTGAAAGAAGCTACAAGCTTAGTTCTTGGGAAAGGCACCTTCATAAAAGAAGACAAAGCATCTAGAGATAAGAGATCAGAAACAAGTAGTGTATGGAAACAGCAAGTCCAAACATCTGGAGGTATACTGTTGGAACCAAAGGCCAGAAGCATTTTGAAAGAAGATGGTCTGTTGAACTTGTCAGAAGAAAATTCAACAGAAACTCTCATAATGGAACTGGAAATTGAAGCAAACCAAAAGCCTGACAGTTGTCAAGAGCCTGAACCAAATGCTTTGGGTACACTGGCCTCAGATAAGAGCCAAAGCCCTGAAGAGGTGCAAGTGGATTCTGACTTCCTGACTTCTGGTGAGATGAGGGGTGCTGATACGTGTAGTCAAGATCTAAATAATTTGGTTGCTGCAGAATCAGCTGGGATGCTGGAGAAGACTAAAGCACCCACAGAGCCATTTAGAAAGTATGCTGTCATTGCTACGGGAAAACAACTGATGCTAGAATCAGAAATTGACATTCATATTGGCCTGGAAAGTTGGAATAACACACATAAGCTGGAAGCTGAGACAGATGACAATATGATCCAGTCAGGCTTGGATACTGTCTTTATCTCTGAACATGTAGTTATAAAGGAAGAAGCACATGCTGATATTTGCCCACCAAATGGATGTGGGAGCCTAGAAATGGAATCCAGAATGGTTTTGAATGAAACCCATGATTCGCTCCATAAAGATGTGGACAATATCCATGCCATGAAATCTGTCCCAATTGAACAGAAAGAGATTTCAACAACTAATGAAAAAGCTTCGGAAGTTTTAGCCTTGAGAAGCACCACAAATAATGAGCTTGCCAGTTCCCCTACAGAGGTCAACAACTCTACATCTGTATTTGAAATTTTAAGTAGGCCAACTTGGCCAAAATTCACCTTTGTGTCTTCAACCAGTAGCATCAAACCATTGTGTTCCTTCTTCTCATCTTCAGCTAGTAAGACTGCTGCTGAACCAGGTCTTGTGTCCAGCTCCAACGTTTCCTCCATTCTGCTTGGTGGAGGAAGTGATGAGAAGGTTGGTAAAACAGGGAGTGCCCAAGGGGCAGTGTTTGGGAGAAAGTTAGATTTCTCACTTCCTTGGCAGAAAGACACAAAGGAAAGGCAGATCAAGAAGGAACTAGAGGCACCATTGAAACTTTCCTCCAAGCAAGATGCACTGTCACGTAGTCCATCCACCCTAGAGCCCAATGCACTGCAACCCTTATACAGACCTGAACAGGTGTTGGGTATGATTAACCCCAAGGAGAGTTCAGACTTGGCTGCTTCAGATCAGTTGGGTGATCAAGTCACTGAGTCCAGTCTTCCATCTGTGGAGATGGATAGTTTAAGTGAGAAATTCTTAGAGGACAGAACTGTTACTGTTTTGGTTGAGACTAGCAAAGAACTGGAAGCTGAAGATAAAGAACATGAAGATGAACTGAGAACCATTTCCAGTGGCCCTCCTGCCCCGACTCTGGAAAAACCGACAGAAGAAATTGCCTCCATTCACAGTCCAGCAGAGCAGAAGGAAAACGTCTGTTGCCTGGGGGAGGAGGCCCTTGTTTCTGGGCCACAGCTGGTGGAGGAGAGCAGCCGACAACCCCCGAATGAGCACAGGCCAGTAGCAAACGCAGCAAATAAATGGTGTCAGCCTGTCCATTTATGATGCAAGAGCCACAGTAGGAGACCTCTGACTCATCCCTCTGGCTCCTTGCAGCTGCACGTGACATAGCGATCCCTGATGGGAGAGTGAGTGGTGACCTGTAGTTGCTAGATGAGAGCCTGGCTTGTCCCTTTTCCCAGCCGCTTTTGCTTTGAGTGCTCTCCCTTTTTGTGTCATGCCTCTTTCAGTGAGCAGCTTTGAACACTGATTTCATTAGCCTTTTCATACTTGAGAGCTGGCAATCTGAGAACAACCCGCACCTCTCAGACTCCACGAGAGGTGGGTGGCTGCAGGAGCGGCAGAAGAGGCCCTACTAAGATCATACTTTAGAAAACAGAGCTGCTCTTCCGCAAGGGATTTAATTAGGGAATTAAAATACTCACATGTTGGTTGGGAGGTGCAAGTGCTGCTCTTGGAGTTGCCCCTCCCGCCCCAGCCACTGCCCATGCTGCCTTTCTCCTTGCTGCACCAGCCAGTTGGCGTCCCAGTTGGGAGAGCCCAGCATGGCTGTGGTGCAGGGGAGCAGTGGCTCGGCAGTGCCTTGTGTCTCCGGGGCGAGGCTGGCCAGGCCAGGCACTTGCCATGTGCTCTGCTCTTCCCAGAGGGGTTCAGTGGCATGGGCTGGATGCGTCTGGGCCCAGCCAGAGCTGCTGGCGATGCTGTGCTTACACTCCTGCTTCCGCTCTGCCTCCAAACAAGTTGCTTTCTGCCTCCTGGAACTGCACAGAAAAATCCTGTAGGTCTTCCAAAGACAGGCCTGTAATACTCTGATCCTGCCCAGTCACCTTGCCTGCTGTGTCCCCCTTCTCTGCTTCCCTCAACCTTGTTAACTGTAGCCCATTTCTTCTCTAGACCACATGGTGAAAAGAGTCTTGATTATTAGGCATTTTGACTAGCTGTGCACCCAAACGCCATTGCGCACAGCCGGGCACTGTCCATTTTATGCCTGGCACCAGTGCTCAACTGTGCATCTGCCCAGCAAGGCGCATGTTCCCCATGCAGTGCAGATGAAGCCCCGTGAGCGCATGCTGTCCAACTAGGGGGCAGCCCCAAGCTGACTTTGAAGAGCTAAGCGGGACCCCACCTGGTTAGGACTTGGGGTTAGGATTAGGGTAAGGTGATGACCCAGAAGTCCCCATGCTGTTGGTGAGATTGGGAGGTTGGAAAGATACCCTGGAGCTGGCAGCCCCTTCCACATTGATACCAAGAAAGCCAGAATCTGCTCCCAAGGCCACCTTTCTCTGTAGCTGAGCGGACTTGGAAGACTCCCTGATCTGCCAGTCTCAGAGAATTCCTTCTGCCTGCTGGGAGCCAACCCTGGAAAATGCTGCACGGGGGTGAGGGGTCTTCCTGCTGAGTCAGCATTCCTCAGTGGAAGAGGTCCAGCATCGTTAGGCAGCTCAGAGGCAGTGGGCTCAGGCTGCCGTGGCTAGAGGAGGGGGAGATGGTAGCCTGCCATTTCTGGGTGGCGGGTGGGTCAGCACACAGCCTCTTTGTGGGATAAGCTCAAAGCCTTGACTGTAACATATGATTTATTTCTGGGGATTGGGAAACGCTGCAGGCTCAATATCTGATGGGGATTTTATGAGGTCCAGTGTAAATTTGGTGTGAAGATCCATCAGGAACAGCCAGATGTGTTTGGAAGAGTGATCTTTCCCTCCAGCAAGTCTCTGATCCACTGACCTTTTGGTAGCCAGCCCTGCACTCCCCCCCCAGCTGCTTAGCTGTTCCTTGGTTGCCACAACCTCTGGGCTCACTGATTTCTGCACATTCACCTGCTCTCTCTCTCTCTCTCTCTTTCTCCCCCCACCAACAGTCCCGCCAGCAGTAGTAAGTTTGGCTCCTCCTGCAACGTCAGCCCAGGAAGCTCTCAGCTGAGTGAGTTGGACCAGGAGCGGGGCAGCCCCCCCGGCTCTGAGCAAGAGGATGAGCTCCCAGAAGGGGTGTCTGTGGCTCTGCCCCCACGGGACTTCCAGGGACCGTTGAGCCAGCTGCCTGAGTCCCAGGGAGTACACCAGGAAGGAGAAGAGGAAGCCAAGGAACACGGCCACCCTCGGCTCCTGGAGGAGGGGGACAACACCACCCAAGTTGCTCCAGAACCCCCAGGGAGGTAGGAAGGCTTACGTCCCCTGAAAGCCCCTCTCATCGCCTGGCCAGTGAGGTCAGTTTGAAGGGCAGCAAGGGGCATCCCTCACAGAATTGTAAAGCCGGCGGTCATGCGGTCCAACCCCTGCTCAGAGCAGAATCTGTTAGATTGTCTCTGACGGAAGACCATCCAGTCTCCCTCTGAAGACTTCCAGCAACGGAGAACGTACCTCATCGTGTGGCAGACCCCTTGGTAGTTTTAGCCCACTGGTTGTGGTCCTGCCCTTGGGGTAATAAAGAACAGGTCCACTCCCTCTTCTGTGGGACAGCCCTTCCAACTTTTAAAGACTGGTGTCTTCTCTTTTGTAGGCTGAACGCACCCAGATCCTTTAACCTTCCTGCATCGGCCTTGGGCTGCAGACCCTTCACCATTGTAGAGGGGAGCAGTTGCCTTCTGTGCTCCTGTTAATGTACCCCAAGACAGCATTTTCCTCTTTACCAGCAGCATCACGCTGCTGGCTCATGTTTAATGTGGGATCCACAAGGATACCCAGATCCTATCCGCTGCCCCTTTGCCAGCCCTGGTCTCTCAAGAAAAATATCCAGAAAGTGACCTTCCTCCCTGCTCGCTTCCCTCCTCTTC